ATCCAAATGTCCAATAACTGATGGATTTAATCTTTTATCCATAATATCATTCAGTGGAATATTATCAGAAATAAAAAGGAATGAAGTACAAGATATAGTCAACAGCATGGGTGAATTTGAAAACATTATGCTATGCAAAAGAAATCAGACACATTTACGTGAGCTCTCCAGAAGGAGCAAATTCCCAGAGACAGAAAGTTGATTAGTATTGGTCAGGGGCTGAGGAGAGAGAGGAGTGAGCAATGATTGTTCATGGGTGTGGGGTTTCTTTTTGCCATTATGAAATATTCTGGAATTAGATGGTAATCTTGATTTTACCATCTTGTGGGCATACTAAAAAACACTGAATTGTATACACTTTAAAAAGGTGAATCTTAAGTTATATAAATTATATCTCAACAAAAATTTTGTAGAGATGGAAATGTAAGGACCAGAAATTTAGGGCAGAAGAAAACAGGATGAATGCAAGATGAGGAAAGGAAATTCAGTACAAGCCATCAGGGCGGATACTAGCAGTGGTGGTGCCTTTGTGAATCAGAGCACTCCTGCCTCCAACACAAAAAGCCCTGTCATCTGTGCCAGGACTAATAGCCTCCACTAGGGGCTCTGCAGAAGCACAATTTCTCCTGGGGCTGATACTTGAGAGTGAAATTTTCTGCAGTTTAGATATTTCTATTAGTTTAGCAAAATCTGGATAGGATATAAGGCTGACAACTATGTTCAAAGCAATAATCACTTGAGAACTTTTCCACATGTTCCCTCACTCTGCATTGTACAGCATATTCTTTAACACGTTTATTTCATTTTTCAATTCACTAAGTGCTTGCTGAGCACTTGCCCATTTTCCTTTATTTGCAAAATGCAGGAATTTAATGTATCTTTGGGTACAATTTAGGAATAGCGTCTAAGTTTCTATGATAAATTGTTGCCATTTAAAAATAAATGTAACATAATGCTTCTATCCATTTTTGATAATATGGTGTTCCATTTTATTAATATGTTTACTAGTATTTTGACTTACATGTTTTTTTTGTGCTTTGCTATTTACTAGTTGAAACCAGTTTAGCTCATTAAGATTCAGAAGGAGCGTATAAACATGTATGCTATTTTAATGCAGGATATTATTTCATTATGAATATGCCTATATTGTTAATTTCATCTAAATTGTACATGTGGTATTGATATGAGGGTAAAAGGCATTAAATATTCTTGTATGTTAAATGTTCCAGTTAAAAAGAGAATGTTAGCTGTTGAGTTTTAAAAAATGTTTATTCAATTCAAACACGATTGATAAAATTTGCTCCTTAAAACTATAAAGTACAAAAAGCTGAAATATCCATCAACAGTACAATAGGATTCCAGTTTATTCTGAGAGCAGATCAGCCAAGATGAACAAATGAGTCTTGTAATTGCGTACCAGAGGTCAAAAAATTAGCCCTACCAAATGAGGAGGGAGAGGAAATGCTGAGACCTAAAAGAAAGGTCATAATATTTGGACTGAATAAAAGCAATTCATTAATAGCAATTTCCCTTCATCTGACAGCAATTATAGAAAGTTTTTAAAAATCCTGTTAAAATGGACAAAAAGTATTTTCTGAATAGTTAAGATTATAATAAATGCTGAGTATTCTACAGCACGTATAGGATCTCATTTTTTTTTCCAAGTGAGGATGCTGTTTTCTTCAGCATCCTGTAAGCCAAGTTCCAATTTTGGACAGGTCCTAGGAAACACAACAATGGTAAAGACAGAGATGGGATGAGGTGATTAATTGTAAGTACATTTCTATAGACAGTATTGCACTTGGAATGTGTGAAAATCTCTCTGAAGATTGATAGAGATGAGGATTGTAAACAGCTTTGAAATCCCCACAGTGATAGCACACATGCTAATAGTTGCCCAAAGTCCTACATTGTTGAGAATGATTCTGATATATTGTTTTAAAGGAGAGAGTGTCGTATGAATTCCAGATCTTTGTCATGGACAAAGAATCTAAGTGCTACTCATTTGTGGTTCCTGATTCATTTGTTCCTGGAGAGATTAGCTAAAATTAAGGGAGTGGATGAAAGAACCACCATTTCCTTTTCCATGTATACAGTAAATTCAAACAGACCTCCAGCAGTTACTACCTCTCTCTCTCATGTCAGATGGAAGATGTAACATCTTCCACACAAAATGGAAAGAGACACTTCTACTGTGATGAAATATATATGGCAAACCCAAGTAATTTAGGCCACAAAATATGTTACTTTAGCCAGAATTTTATGAGTAATCTACTTTTTCCATTTCACTCTGAATATACTGTCCTACATACATTTTATTTATTCGTTGCTTGCTACAATGTGAAGGCAGAATATAGTTTAACAAATAATTATACATCAACATTTCAGGCAAATGATCAAAGCTTGAGTTTATTGTTATACAATGCTGCTCTTTCATCCTTATTTCTGAATAGCAAATCTCATCAAGCATGATTGAGTTTTGTTTACTTGTATCTTCTCCCATACTTCCGAAATTTCTGTGTGTGTAGCTCTTCAGAATAAAATTAAGATGGGGTAAACCAATACAATTCAGCAACATCTGTGACGTAGCCAAACATATAAAAGTCTTTCCCGACTGACCCTGAATGCCCATTTAACCCCCTTTCAAATATTGGCATTAAATTTTTACTTACAGGAAGTATACAGTTTCAATCAGGAGGGCAAAGCATTGATGACTGCAAGTAACAAGAAAAATGAACACTACGAATCTGCACATAAAATAATAAGAGAAAAAAGAAAGAAAAGGATAGCAAGGAGAGGTGGGGATTTGTTTGTTCTCAGAGGAAACACCTATATTTCTGCTGTGAAAGTAAGAGAAATAACCCAGACTGAAAAAAAGAGGTGCTTTCTTGAAATGGTTTCTGCTAGATTCCCCATTATTTTACATACGATGGGAGCTGGAGTTGTGCAGAATATTTCGGGAAGCTTTCCACGTGGATTTATGACCTCACTGGGGGTGCACAAAAAGAATCAACATCAATTAAACTATAATTGACCCCAGTATGGGGGTCAGGGGAACAGACCCCCACACTGTAGAAAATTCAAGTGTAATTTCAACTCCCCATACACTTAACTACTAATGACCTACTGTTGATTAGAAGCCTTATTGATAAACAGTTGATTAACACATATTTTGTATGTTCTATATATTATATTCTGTATTCTTACAATAAAGTAAGCTAGAGAAAAGAAAATGTTAGGAAAATCATAAGATAAAACATACTGTCAAAGTGGATCATCAGAGAGGCTTTCATCCTCATCGTCTTCACATCCAGGGAGCTGAAGAGGAGGAGGAAGAGGAGGGGTTGGCATTACTGTATTAGGGGTGGCAGAGGAGGAAGAAAATCCATGCAAAAGTGGACCCTCCCAGTTCAAACCCCTGTTGTTCAAGGGTCAACTGCACAATCAAGTTTTGATAAGAAGACTCAGTTTTCAAACTTGATTTTAAGCAGATATGTATCTAGGTACTCAAATTTGGATGTAATATTACATAGAACTTAAACACTCCTGGTTAAGCGGAAGTAGAAGAACCGAGTTTCCTAAGTAGAAATCAACCTGTTGGAGGAAAGCTCAGGAGAGAGCGAGGGTCTTGGCATAATAGAGTGTAGGCACGACATATGTTTGGGTTTGTAAATCTGTTGTCCGGAAATAAAGAGCAAATTGGGTATTGGATTAGGGGAAACATATTTCTTGTTTCCCATGAGAGAGCCATGCTTTGGGCACCACAGTTGCAAAGTAGATTGATTATTGGAATCCACTTCCAGTGGGTTTTGTGGCAAGCTGAGACATCTATTGACAGCATCCATAGACTCTTCAGAGCTTGGAGTGGAAAGGACCTTGAAGTTAGAACACACCAAATTTGTTATGTGAATGAAGTCTTCTTCTCTTACTTTTGTTACAGGAAACACTTAAAGCCATGTACTTTGCGGTAGGAAATGTTCTACATTTATTAAATACACAGGATTAACTCATCCAATCCACTGCAACCACCTTATAAGGGTGTTACTCTAATTCTCTCCATTTGATGGATGGATATCTGAGGCTAAGAGATAAAAGTAAATTGTTGCTTGTGGGGGAGGTGAAATTCCAGTTCAGACTGTCCGGGCTCTAGATCCTGTACTTTTAACCAATAGCGCTTGGCTTCTTTTCCTTGTATTTATCCCTTTCAAAAAAGATTAACTGTATGCAAACTAAGATGTCAACTAACCAAAGGGCCTGCAAGGGTTAACGCGGAAACACATCCCCGAGCTGAAAAAACAAAAACAAACCGGGCAGCGAGAGCCCCCGAAAGCCCCGGTAGGAAATTCAATGGGCCTCCTGTTCCTTTAAACTCTCGCTTTCGCCCCCGCAGACCCTTTACAAAGCCGCGGCGGCTGCGGGGACCGCGCTGCGGCGCGCTGCCCTCTGCCGCCCTCCCGCGCCGGGCTGGGGTCCGAGGGGGCTTCGCAGGGTCAGTAACCCAGAACTGGCTCTGGTGTGCTTTCTCCACACCCCAGCCAAGGCCAGACCCAGCCTCCGGGAAGTGGGGGAGGGGGAGCTGTGGTTAACCCTTTAGTGCCCAGGGAGACCCCCGCCACTGTCGAGGCGGGGCGCAATCGCCCCCCCGCAGTCGCGCGTGAAGGCGGCCTGGGAGCCAGGTGGGTGGGGGAGCAGTTGGTGAAGCTGCCCAGGGCGCGCGAGCCGGGTGCGGGGATGGTGCCCCGGCCGCGCGGAGGTACCGCCCCGCGCTCCCTCGCTAGCTCCCGGGGCTCGTCCCCTCTCCCCGCGCTCCGGGGCCGCCGGCTGCCGGGGGCGCGCGGGGCTGGAGTGGCCCTCTTCCTCCCCCTTGCTAGGCTCCCCCGGCTCGCTCTGCTGGCGGCGACTCCTGTGCCAGCCCCGAGGAAAGTGCAGCCATTGGACAGGTCCGTGCGGGCTGCCGGTTTCAGGGAGGAAGGTGGGAGAAGCCTGGAGGAGCGAAGGGGAGGGCGGAGGGAGGAGGGAGGAGGGTGCGGCGGCAGATCTGGCAAATTGCGAGCCACCTTCCCTCCTCAAAGTGTGGAGCAGGAGCGCGGAGGAGCGCGACGGCGGCGCCTCCTCCGCCACTAAACTCCTGGGGCTCCGCGGGGGCTTGGGGCCACCTCCTCCTGAGCCTGGAGGAGCCCGCTCCCGATAGGTTCCAGCCAGACTCCCCCCATCCCACCCTTTTTCTTTCTTCTTCCTTTAAAAACACACACACACACACGCACACACGCACACACATTTTTTCCTGGCTTCGGACCTCAGACTGCTGCAGCCTGAACCTTTCCAGGGCTCAGCTCTTTGGAGCTGCCCATTCCTCCGGCTCCGAGAAAGGACGCGCGCCCTGCGTAGGGCGAAGAAGAGAAGCAAAACTTGTCGGAAGGGTTTCGGCGTCAACCTCCTTCCTGCAAACCTAAACCTCCTGCCGGGGCCATCCCGAGACCGAGGAAAGTTCCTGCGGAGCCGACCATCCCTAGTGGATCTGGAGCTGGCAGCGGAGCAGACTGTGGAATTAGGTCTGTTTTGAACCCAGTGGAGCGCATCGAGGGGGCTCGGAAGTCACCGTCTGCGGGCACCCAGGTGGCTTGTTGTTCAGTGTCGGGTGAGGGCTGCGAGGGTGGCAAGTTGCAAAGAAAACCCCGAGGTCCGGAGAGGGCTGCGCTCCTGCTGGCTCTCGGGCCTTCCCCTCCTCGGCTCCCTGCTGTGAAATCCCAGCGAAATTTACAAAGGCCTCTGGGTCCAGCGGAGACCGACCCGCAGCGCTTGACCCGGTCGCCCCTGTCGCTTCGGGAGCCCCCGAGCACCGGCGAAGGACTGGCGGGAGGGGTAGGGAGGTGGCGGCGGCGGCATGGCGAGGTTCCCGAGGGCCGACCTGGCCGCTGCAGGAGTTGTGCTACTTTGCCACTTCGTCCTGGACCAGTTTCAGTTCGCCGAAGGGAAGCCCGGAGACCAAATCCATGGTAAGAAACACTTTGGCTTGTTGATTTTGTGTTCAGTTGAAGACCTCTCTGGCACCCTCGTTCCTCCTCCCCCCTCCCCCCACATCACCTGTCTGCCCTTGGGGAAAGTTACTGCAGTTGCTTTTCGGGTAAACTTACGCTTCTCAAACAGGGAAAAGAGGGTTAACAAGAGAAGGACGCCGGGGACTAGGGGTTTTCCTGAGGCTTTTGGGCTTACTTCACCTGGGCGGCAGGGGGTGATACTGTCTCCCCCAAATAGCCCAGTGTGAGAGCAAAGCTGCTTCTGTTGATACGTCTCCTAGGACCTGGCATCTCCAGGCTGCCTGCTCTCTGTCTCCCCTCCTTCCTCGCTGCTGGTTAAACTAAGCGAGTGTGTGGTGGGGGTGGGTGGGGTACTGGTGAAAGCCCGAGATTGCGGGTCTCCCCTCTGCATGAGAAAATTCCCTGTGGCAGTACCTTGTTCCCCTTGGCGATCCCCACTAGCTCCGTCTCTTGAACTGGTCTGAGCGGGCGCTGGAAGTGGGGCGGGGTAGGTGGGGCAGGCGCAGAGGTGGGGAACAGGTGGAAAAGGTGGGGTAGGGCGCGCTTCTGGAGGCCTACCCCTGCCCCCATTGTCCTCCGCCTGCCGGCTTCCCAGACAGGCCTGGACGCCCTAACTTTGTCCCCGAGAGGACCCCGACCTCCGCCCTCTTAGTGGCGGTCCAGCCAGGTGCACGTCCTTCAAGGAGCCGCGTCCTCGGGGCGATCGCCTAGCGGGAGGTGCCGGCTGCCTCCTGGGACCCTGCTCACTGCCAACCGGGTGCCTACTTCCCATTTCTGCCTTTCAGTGAAGACAGTGAAGACACAGGCAGAAAGAGATCTTGGCAGAAATTGGTGAACTCGGGTGCACTTAGAGAGGTGGTGAAACGAGAAATAAAAATAAAAAACTAGAAAGGAAAAGAAAAAGAAAACGAAAACTTCCTGCGTAAGACAATTTGTTCTGTTCTGCTGTGTGTGTGCGCGTGTGTGTTTAATGATTACCCGGTCAACAGTCAAACTTGAGAGGCACAGATGGAAAGCTGGGGACACCTGGGGATTCCAGGCAAGGTGAATCTTGTAGATCTTAAAGGAAACCCTTGAGTCAAATTTAACAAGCCGCGACTTAGAAGACAGTAACAACACCTGGTGTAAATTGTTCTAGATAAAGCACAGATACTGACTCTGCGCTCTTATTTACGATTGGAGGGGTGTGTGTGTTGGAGTGTATGTGCAGGGAGGCAATATGATAACACTTTTAAAGCTGAGAATAAAATGCAGATTTCTTGGGCGTTGATTTGTCTTCATCACATTTAATTATTCTGCATTAATGGACCTAGGGTGTTCTTGACTGTACGATTTATGACAGGAGACTATACCTTTTGCTTATTTCTCTATATGTTTCATTGGTGGGAAAAAAAAATAACACTTTCAGCCTTCCAGGAAATGACATTTATTTAAAAATTGCAACAGTAATTTTCATGTACTTATTCATGGTGTGAATAGATGACTCCACCACAGAGGAGGTTAGAAAGATGTGTGTGCCAACATGCATCCCAAGTTGTTTATTTAAAAATTTGTTTGACACTAGGAATAAATAATGCATTTGCAGTGAAAATAAATTATAAATAAACGTCAACAAAATGTTATCTTTTTCCAAACCTTTTTCAGTAATGTAACTGAAAAAGGAATATATGTACACACACACACACACACACACGCTACATTTTCTATTCCAAGAAGTTCTGAAATTGAGGATGAAATTCATCCCAAAGTAAGATTGGCTGTATAATTAAAAGCCCTTGCTTTGGGAAATATAAAATACTTAAAATGTTCAACATCAGTGTACTAGTATTTTAAACTAGTTGAATATTTCTGATGGGAATTCTACTCTAGAAATCCATATATTGATAGAATTGATTTTAAAAAGAATAGTTTTAAATTCCTTGGAAAATTTTTGAATACTTTTTTTATAAACCAAGGTAGCTTCTTCCTTGGACATCAATTTATATGTAGTTTTATGAAATAATATTGGAATTAAATGGTTAGCTTACTGAATATATAAAAGCAAGGTGAAACAGAAAAAAAAAACAATTTTATTTGTAAAATAGCCTATGTAAAAGTTTATTATGGGGGAAAAAGTCCAACAGTCTTGAAATTTGGCATGCAACAATCAGGATTTTTATTACAGACATTTTGGCACGGGAAAAATATCTGATTTCATAACAGGGACATTTTATCATGCATTGCTTTAGTAAATGCTGCAGTTAATTTTATTGCCACTAGAGGGCAGAGAAACTGCTAATTTCTCCTATTATTCCCTTTCTGTTTTAGAGGGAAGTAGTTTATGCTTATATTATTTACACTTATTTTAGTTGTTCTTTGTCTGGTTGAATGTTTTTTGGTTTTCTGCTTTTGTTGGAGTTAAACAATTAACTTTGAAATATTTCTTATTCGTAGAGTTTGTTGTCAGAGTGTTGCTGTTGAGACATAATCACTAGTTTCTGTTTGCATATAAACCTAGAGCAAAATGGTACAATAGAGGGGTTAATTCAAGTGAACATTTATTATAAAATGGACATCTGTCATATTGTTGGATAAAAGTTATTTTATCAATCAGTGACTTGAGGCTGCATGCAAAACTTTAAAAATATGAAATGTAAGCCTCTTTTTCCTTTAGAGAATACATCAAGTTTTGAAGCAGGAGGTTGGGTAAGCTGGGACTGAGATATAATTGCGGTGTACAACATTCATATTAGAGATAATTTTTTGCTGTTGTTCATAGATGTCTGCATAGACGTTCGAAATTATCATAATCAGGAGAATTTGCATATTTCAGTGTGCTCTTCAGAAATTGACTCTTGTCAGGGAGAATGTATTTGATAAAACTTAAAGATACAAATTTTGCTCCAGACAAGTTTCTTCACTGCTAGAATCAGATGTTCTCATGGAGAGATGTAGAAAATATGTGTCATTATCAGTAAGTTTTGTCATTTTTTTTCTAAAAGCTATCTCCTATTGCAGAAACATTATGTTTTTAAAAAGGAATAAGTTAACCAACAAACTTGATAATGGGATCTAAAGTCTTCAGCTCAGGGCTGGGTGCAGTAGCCGACGCCTATAATCTCAGCACTTTGGGAGGCCGAGGCAGGCAGATTACCTGAAGTCAGGAGTTTGAGACCAGCCTGGCCAACATGGTGAAACCCCATCTCTAGTACAAATACAAAAATTAGCCTGGTGTGGTGGTGTGCGCCTGTAATCCCAGCTACTTAGGAGGCTGAGGCAGGACGGTCGATTGAACCCTGGAGGCAGAGGTAGCAGTGAGCCAAGATCGCGCCATTGCCTGGGTGGCCAACAAAGGGAGACTCTGCCAAAAAAAGAAAAAAAAAAAAAGAAAGTGAGTAAACAAATAAACAAAGAATAAAGTCTTCAGCTGCTTCCCCATCACATTATAGAGCCTCTTCTCCATGGTCTTCAAGGCCATTGCCATGTGGCCTCAAGCACTTTCTCACCCTGTCTACCCTGCCTCTTTAATGCTCTCACCAGACGAGCTTCCGGAAGTTCCCCGAGTGTGTACCATGCATTATCACTTTTGCCGTTTTTCCTGCTCTTCCTTCTCTAACTCTGTCTCCATCTATCCATTGTCTAATTTTTCCTACAGATTTATCTCACATGACACTCTCCACGGAAAAGACGTGTTGTCTTAGAATTCTCAGTGCACTTTATGCCTTCTTCAAAGGCACTTGCTTGACTTTGCTTGTCATTGTAGAGTTTCCTTTTCTTTGCGTGTCTGCATCTCTCTCATGTATTCTACTAGACCAGACCATGTATTTCTGAATCTGCTGTGGCAACTACCAATAAATAGTTGCATTAAAGGTTGTTGGACTGAGCTGAACTTAATAAAACTATAGTTCAAGCTGAACTATTAACTTGAATGTCGCCTTGGGAGACTTTTTAAATAATTCTCATGCTAATACTTTTTCCATCAATAGGATAGAAATAAATATAAAACTAATTTCACAGGATGATTGTTAAAACCAAAGCATAAGATCCAGAAGTCTGCTAAACTATCCTTCTACTAATAGGTGGAACCTCAAAAAGTTCATTCAGCCATTCTTCTATCTTGCTGGTTTCTGAGTGAATGTTCACTCATGTTCTTAATCTCATATCTTTTTGTTTATACATTTCTTTTAACAATTCTTTATTTTTCAATTTGTAATTACATATATTTAAGCTTGTACAACATGATGTTTGCTTATTTTCAAATTCTATGTATAAGAGAAACCAAATTGCATTTGTATGTTTGTATCTGAATTTCTTTACTTAGCAGTGTTCCCCAGCTTCCTCCATGCTATCACGAATAGCAAGATCCTCTTTTTTAAGACTAAATAATATTCCACTGTGCATATATATGTAGTATGTATGTAATATATATGTACTATATGTGTAATATATGATATATATGTTTTATGTATGCAATATATATTATATATGCACTACATATGCACTATATATGTAATATGATATATGCACTATATATGCAATATGTATAATGTGTATGTACTATATATGTCATATATATACACTATATATGGAATATATATCCAATTATTCATCAGTGGACACTCAGGTTGTTTCTATATCTTGGCTATTGTGAATAATGCTTCAATTAACATGGGAGTGAAGATATCTCTACAAGGGACTGATTTTATTTTCTTCATGTATATATCCAGAAGATAGATTGCTGAGTCATATGGCAATTTTATTTTTAATTTTTTGAAGCAACTTATATTGTGCTTTATATGACTGTACGAATTTACATTCCCACCCACAGTGTGTAAGGGTTCCCTTTTCTCCACTTCCTCACCCATACTTGTTACCTATTGTGTTTTTGGCAATAGCCATCTTAATATTAGTCAGTGTGAGATGATACCTCATTGCAGTTTCGATTTGCATTTCCCTCATGATAGTGACGTTGAGCGCCT